ACTTCCAAAAGAATTAAAACATTTTATTGGCGTTTCCTTATGGATTAGGTTAGCCAAAATTCACAAACCAAAATTACTTTAGTAACCTAGAATCGACTTCGCAAACACTTCCAAGTATGGTTTATCCAAATGTCCAAATGGTATCTAAAAGCCACTTCATCATAACCTGAATGATGATGTAATAACAGATTGATATGAAGTTAAATCAAAAATCTCGAGATTATCTATCAACAAGAACAAGACAACAGTAAGCTATGATGTTATTTCTTTAAAAACTAGTGTTCTGATTTATAGATGTCGATTAAATGTTTACTAGAGAATAATAATGTCCAGTTTAATGATGAAATCCTCAAATTATACTTAAATTCTACACTGTTTGCCTTTAATGGGTCTTTACATAAACCAACGAACAGACTGGCCAAATGATCTCCGATATCTTCGAATGTTGGTAATTTATTGATGTCCTATTTCGATTCACTGACATTTACTAGCAGCATCAGACCATACATGTGAGTCAGATATGTAGATGATACATTCATGGTTTCAAAAATGTGTAACTTAACAATCTTCACAACACCGTAATGCAAATTACCTGTGCTCACTAGTGACTAGCTTCTTGGGGAATCTTTTCCGATTTCTAGTGGGAAGACGTGACCTGTGAAGTTCAACCTGTTCGGGTGTAGTCAGTGTCTACCGAAGACTGTGTATGAGGTTGCGCAACTCCGTGAATTTGATCAAGTTAGACATTAGCACCGTTCGCTGCCGGCTCAGTGGTCTAACCGTTAGGGCGATCGCGCCCAATACCGAAGGTCCTGGGTTCGAATCCTGCGGGGTGCAGAAGTCGTGCCACTGTTGAGTCCCATACCAGGACGAAACGGCCGTCCAGTACTTCCAGGTTTCTAATAGTGGTCTAACATTGATCGATTCATGGTTTCAAAAGTGTGTAACTTAACAATCTTCACAACCCTGTAATGCATGACTTAGGAGATTCTCTAAACTGATGAACATGTACTGTGAAGACATCAAATTTACTTTCAGAAATGAAGATAAACGTAGTGAACTATCATTCTGAGACTGTTTACTTAGAAAGAAATCTAATGGAATTTTTAATCTAATCATTTACCCTAAATCAACATATTAAAATCGATACATTGGTTTCAACTCATCCATTCAGTGTGGGAATTTGTCTGACTGTGCGTGGAGTTTTTCATAAAGGTTTATGAAAATCATTACTTCAGAAGATTAGCTTAAGGACAAAGATAATATCATAAACATTTTATGGCTTAATAATTTCCGTATGAATATTATTAGAAGCCTATTTAAAATGAAAATATACATCTATAAGTGACAATTCTAATGAAACTCTTTGGATTGGTACCATGGTTTTACCTTACGGTCAAGGTACGACGAATTTCGAAAACATTCAACATTAAAGCTTTCTACAAAACAATCCCGCGACGACCTATGTTTTGCAGTGTAGGAGTAGATTGGAAGAAAGCTAGGGGCAACCAAACAAAAACATGGCACAAATCCATGAAGTCACTGACAGCAAGTGGACTGAGTCATGTTGGTAGATGTAGGCTACCTGGTTAGGGTCCGCGAGACGAAAGTCACCAATGGTTAGAGACCTTGAATGACATGGCTCAGAATCGTTTGCAATGGAGCAGGTGCATCTACTCTTTGTGTTCTCTCTAATTCTAACCCTCAGCATTCCCCATAATCTCTATCTTTCTCCTTCTAAATTTATCTCACTGAATTATACTTCTCGAATCATATCTTCGCTCCCTAATCTTCTCCATTACTGCTAATACTTCTACTATCCCTATTACTCTTGGATTTGAACTGACAGTTGCGTCTCTGTGCTGATGTGGTATGGCAACCTGAACTGATGTACTTACGTACGAAGTTCTGCGTTGTATCTGTCTGTCTGTTTACAAAATAATCAATATTCAAATAGACGCTTCAGTTAAAATCAAGGACAAGATCCCTTTTACATACACACCAAGTGTCTACAAACTAGGTCGTGTATTGAAAAGTCTTCTGATGGAATCTTGACTCTTGTTTTAAAAAAAAAACTTAAGCCATTCAGAAAATCATCAACAGCAACGCATAACTTTGCACATAAGTACAGCAGTTCAAGTTGCCATAACACATTAGCATAGAGATGCAAATGTCAATTCAAATCCCATAGTGTTAGAGGCAGTAAAGTAATCGGAGAGATTAGGGTGCGAATATATAAATTCAAGAAGTATAATTCAGTGAGGTAAATTTAAAAAGAGAAAGATAGAGGTGATGAGGAATTCAGAAGGCTAGAATTTCAGAAAAAACTCCCTAACAATCCCATAGAACTGAAAAATTTATAAATTACATCGGTAACAACAGTATATCAAAAATTTCAAAGCATAATTCAGAAAGGTTTTTTCTAATGATAACGAGAGACCAAGTAGCTGAAGCATTCCATATATATATATACATTACTCATTCCGTCTGCCCCCAATTGGATGAAAGGTCTGACTAATTCGTCCAATCCGAAATCTATATTTAAATAGTGACATTTGACTCAATTCATTATCATCTACACAACTCTACGCACACACACATACACACACATTGTGTTATTGTTTCCTAACTTCGCTACTTCCTGTCACAAATGACATTTTTCTTACCCTCCTTGATACACGTAAAAAATACTCCACACAGAATCACCTTGACCGAGAATGACATGACATTGACATGTTCAGACCGATCATGATTTTGATTGTACTAAGACTATATTCTTTGTTTTTTTTTTCTGCTATCTATAATTGTGTTAAGTGATTTAACTACTTTGCGCTTGGTCACAAAAAGTCGGAAAAGCAAATCTCTATTCATTGAAATATCATCAACAATAAAATTGTAATTACTCTATGATTATTAATTTTTCACCTAATTCTCAATTTATTTGATATCGGCTTTGGTATTAATACCTACAAACTCTTTTTTATTCCCATTATAAAACCTGGAAGCACTGTCTGGGCGTTTCGTCCTGGTATGGGACTCATCAGCAATGCGCATCCAAGACTCCTACACCTCGTGTATAGACAGTAACTACTGGTTTTCGATCATAGGTGTCTTCGAAGTATTGCTCGTATATCGTTGGACACCCGAGTGAGCAACGCTGTTATTAGGAATCGGGTGCTAGGTAAGAATGGCAGATCAATAGATGAAGTGCTGAAACTTCACCAGTTGAGGTGGTTGGGACATGTGTTGCGTATGCCCAACCACCGACTGCCTCGTCGAGCCTTGTTTTGTAGTGTAGGAATAGGTTGGAAGAAAGCTAGGGGCGGCCAAACCAAAACATGGCAGAAATCCATGAAGTCATTGACAAGTGGACTAAGCCATGTCGGTAGATGTAAACTACCTGGTTGGGGTCCGCGAGATGATAATAATCGATGGTTGGAGACCTTGAATGACATGGCTCAAAATCGTTTGCAATGGCGCCGGTGCATTTATTCTCTGTGTTCTCTCAAATCCTAATCTTCTGGATTCTTCAACCCCTCTAGTTTCGACTCTCTAAACTTTTCTCACTAAATCATACTTCTTGAATAGTATCTTCTAATCCTAACCTCTCGGATTACTTCTACTTCCCTTACTACCTCTTCTACTATTGGATTTGAATTGACAATTACATCTATGTGCTGATGCGGTATGGCAACATGAACTGATGTACTTACGTACGAAGTTCTACATTGCATCTGACTGACTGACCAAACAAAAATGGGTGAGGTCGCGCAAAATCTGTAGATTGATCAGAGTTAGACAGAACACTGTTGGATGCCGGCCCGTTGGTCCAGAGTTTAGGCATTCGAGCACAACACTAGTCTTATGTTTGAATCTTGCGCGTTACAGTAGTCGTGGATGTGCACTGCTCATAAGTCTCATACCAGGACGAAATGGTCATGCAGTGCTTCTAGGTTTCTAATGGCTGTCTAACAATGATTGATTGATGATTTCAACGTGTAATACGCACTAACTCCATAACTCTAATTGAAAAATATGATTTCATCTTCTCAGTAACTCAATCGCTTTGCATGTTTTGCACAGCTGATTCTCATCTTTATATGAAAAGTGTTTAAAATAATTCTCGGCAAATTTTCATAATGTTTGATCTCTAATTTAATATAACTAGAGCCCCTATGTGTTTCTGTTTTCTTGATTCCACTGCGAAGCTGGAAGTATTAATGACGCTATTGATCGATGTTAGGGCTGCAATGTACATATGTCAATAGAGACTAATCAGTTATTAGTCAGGTGTTTGAACTAAAATTACACCAATTAGATAGTTTAACTTATTAGTACAATATTAGCTGCAGGTGTAAATATCATTTTCGAACGCCGCACTTTTGAATCATGACTTCACACTTGGTTCGTATATACTGATGTCCCCTGTTCTTGCGTAATCGGATACCTTGGAATATAGCTGACGGCTCTATTGAAACAAAGACGTGTTAGTACAACCCTTAAGTTAATTTGTTCATAAAATAGGTCACATGATAAATTTTAATCATTTGCGTCTTGATGTGAGTTCATACTAGGTGTTCCGCTGACGATTTGACGCTAAGTAACAGTTCTACGACACTGCATAATTTTGATTGAGCGAATGTTCATCTTGACAGTTATCTACGTTTATACGAATTCCACTAACTGTAACGTTCGACTTACTGGGATATAATTCATGCATTGAAATGATGTGATTCGAGGTATTATGATGGTCATTACATTTTACAAATAAACCAAACAGAATTCATTTTAATCAGAATACAGCCCAGAACTAAAAGCAACTACACAATCACATATGCCGTTCATTGATGTTGTAAGGTCCTATCTTTGTTGTGAAATTTTAAAATTCAGTCACCATAACCAATTCTAACCAATCAAAAGTCAATTTGTAGGTCATGTTATTTCACAAACCTGATTCGTTCATTTTACGGAAAGATATTTACAGATAGTTTTTGGTTGGATGAGTGTTTATTTCAAGGTTGTGGTCTTTACACGTGCTGCTATGCGATGCATGCATAGATAATTGTGTTTCCCTAACTTGCAGGTGGACTAAACAGTTTACGGAGAACATTAACGAAGGTAGTCAATGTTTTTTTTTCTTTTAAAAATTGTTCTATGCGATAAATTTTGTGATTGACCCTTGTTATCCAATTTCAAACTTGGTTACATTTATGCAAAATATTACACAAGATTCGACTGACTATTTTTTTACAGTTAAATAAGTACAACTAATCCTTGTACCTATTAGCAAACTTTATTTGAATAGTTGAAAATAGTATAATTTCATTAGACTGTGGTTATGAATGTTTTCTAGTAACTGCGAAACCATTATATGTTTCTTGATAAAATACAGCTTTTAACATATTTTAATTCTTCATTCTCACTTTCTGCTAATTTGTTACTGTATAAGTCACTTCAGTAGCTTTAAATGACTTTTATTTTGTCATGTCACCATAAACTTGAATTTTGGATACCTTTCATATCCAAGTTTTAATAATCAGTAAAGACATTCCCAAAAAATATGTTAGTTGGGATCATTTATCCACACGACATCTATGAAGAAATATATTTTTATCGATCTTATTCGTTACTCTTCGATGAGTTTTGTTCTCATTTTCAATAGCTTTCCATTCAAGGTATTCAGTTGGTTTGCATGTGTAAGGGAAGTCGACAAGTCATATCTAAGCTTCCGAAATCTTTTTAAAAATATAATCTAAGCGTGTACATTACTCCCCGTCCGTTAATATTACATGAACTATTAAAGTGAGGTAGAGAAATACCATATCGTATAGTGTAGTGTCTACAAAACCAATAAAATCAAGCAAATTATCAATATCCTATCATTTTAGGCCTACACACCCATCCACTCAATAATGAATGACCTAGAAAATTTTTATCGATTGACTCGAAATGTGATTATGAAGTATGTATGCATTAAATAAAATAGTTCATTTACCATATGAGAACAATAAATATTTCTTAACAAAAGTGCACTTAGATAAAGTAGTTCGGATCAATAGTAGGACTTCCAATCGATATTTTCACTGTTATCTCTATCATGGACATTATTCACCTCATGTCATACATTGAATTCACGGACTAAAGGTTCATAATTTTGAGTTTTCACACTTTTTTTTGTAGTCAGTAAAGTAGTTTTGTTTACCTACTTCCAAACTGTTTATAATCTTTCTTTTCGACTTCTGTGTTTTTTATATACATAAATTCTATATAGTTAGGGCAGAGGTAAACTGTTAAATGTCTATTATACAGGGTAATCTTATCACTCTACAAGTGAGGACTTGAAATACATGAGAATCTGTATGGTTGTAACTACTTCAGTCTGATAATATTGCAAGTTGATAACTATGCCCTAATGATTTCAGAACAACTACATTAATATCCATAGGCAGTCACATAATTAGCGCATTTCACAAATCGATAAGTGGGAGTGGCTTGGTGGTAAAGCTGTCGAACTCAACCACTAGGTCCCAAATCCGAACGTCGCCTCATCTTTTTCGGTCGAAACAACCAGATAGTATCATTAGCCCTCACGCTAAAATTGTCTCATATGCGGGTTATTTATGTATTCATTTAAACATATAAACATTTATATAAAGGGGCACCCAAGTATTTACATGCCGCATAAGTTATTGAATCTGTAAGTTGCCTGGGAAATTGTTTGTGTACCCAAACCGAAGCAGATAGTTTTGTTAAGAGCTTACATCCTGAGCCTTTTTATCTAGAAGTCTAATCCACATGACAGCGGAGCAATGTAAGGATATGCAGTCCCATGGTAGCGGGTGACCAAAATTAGGTTCATACACTATTTGTTCCGTCCAGATCCCAGAGCCGATATGCACGACTGATTTGGAAAGAACGTTTTTCAACTCCTGTGGGTAGATCCTCTGTGTCGACCAAGTCGGTTTAAGTTCTTACAGGACATTCGCTTTTCTTCCTCTCAACTTAATAAACAACACCCTAGCTACTAGAATGAAGTGAGTTGGACATGCTTGTCAGTGGCTATACACGCGTGACCTTATGCGAGAATTTGGATAGGGAGATAGGATTCTCTCCACTCCCAGCCATACCATGGCATTTGTAGGCATGTTGTTAGCAAATCTAGTTGCATATCTCATCTAACTACTTCACTAGAATTATTATTTGTAAAACTTCTAGTTTCTCTCTTATGGATTTCCGCATTATCAAATTGCTGTTGGTTATTTCCAGAAACCTTAACTTACAGACAAATGTTCTAGCGCATCTGTCCTCACCGTCTACTATCAGTATCTTTTTCGAATTAATTTTAGGTTAATTGTGGTTTCTGGAATGTTTGAAATTATATTCTAGTGCTCCAAAACATGGCAGAAATCCATGAAGTCATTGACGAGTTGACTCAGTCGTGTTGGTAGTTGTCGATTACCTGGTTGGGGTCCGCGAGATAATAATAATCGATGGTTAGACACCCTGAATGACATGGCTCAAAACCGTTTGCAATGGCGCCGGTGCATTTAATCTTTGTGTTCTCTCAAATTCTAATCTTCTGGATTCTTCAACACCTCTAGTTTTGACTTTCTAAACTTTTCTCATTGAATCATACTTCTTGAATAGTATCTTCTAATCCTAACCTCTACGACTACTTCTAATACCTTAACTACCTCTCCTATTATTGGATATGAATTGACAATTATATCTCTGTGTTGATAAGGTATGGCAACATGAACTGATGTACTTACGTACAAAGTTCTACGTTGCATCTGACTGACTGATATTCTAGTGCTTTATGACGCATCAAAGAACGGTGTATTTGGTTTATTTTGTTTTTAACCTATTCTACTTCTCATTTTAATACTCCGGATTATCTCAGTTTTTAACTATATTGTCGGCATAATACGTAAAGGTTATTTCATTGTCCATTGTAACGTGACATTCTATTATAAGCTCAGTCTGATGAATTCATTTTGATTGTGGCTAGAAAACAAAGTATAACTCAATAATTTTTTACAGAATTTACTGAACTTATCTCGTGATTTATACACAAAAATTTCTTAAAAAATATATTTTTTATCGTTATCTAATTATATTCATTATTTTTTATGGTATTGGCATTCTGTATGTGATCGTTATATAAAGCATCAAATGGGATTATTTATTACAGAAGTCTTTTTCCAGCATTAAGGATTATTCTGTCGGTTATTTGTCTTCAATTCTTCCAGATGTCGTGCCTTCACGTTCCATGCATATAGGATCTTCTTTTCCTGCATCAACACTTGAACCTATTCATCAAGGTCAAGAACTGCAAGTCGGTTCAATGACCACTTGTACAGGTGAGTTTGTAGTTTTTCTAGAAAAAAATTTGAGTGAATGCCATTCAACGCCTTAATTGTTGTTTTGATGCAAAAACTACTATCTTTTTATTGATAATTGACATGTTACGCTTTCTTTTCATCGTATGATCAATTTTTGTTACTCAAATAGGTAAATAAGTACTTATTGTCAATGGTAATTGATCGTTTGTTTCTAGGAGTTATGATGTTAATTGTTAAATAATCACTTGTGCAATTCAAATCATGAATCGACCAATGTTAGAGCACTATCAGAAACCTACAAGCATTGGACGGCTGTTTCGTCCTGGTATGGGACTCGTCAGCAGTGCACATCCACGACTCCTGCAGTCCGCAGGGTTCGAACCCAGGACCTTCGGTCTTGCGCGCGAACGCCTAACCTCTGGACCGTTGAGCTGGTATCTAATGGTGTTAATGTCTAACTTCGACCAATCCACGGTCTTGCGCAAATTTAACCATTGTCTTCGGTGAGCACTACTTCACACTCGAACGGGGTTGAACTCCATTCTTGTTTAATTTTATCATAGACATGCTCCTAGAAATAACCTTATCCTCGTCTGAATTTTCAGTAGACCTTTTACCAGATGGCTCGTTTATTGACTTAGAATATACCGATGACATTGTCCTACTTGGTGAAGACGCTGACAAAATACAGTCTTCTGACCACCATAAGCAACAATGCTAGCATGTTCGGGATGCGGTTTTCCCCCTCGAAATGCAAAATGTTGCTTCAAGATTGGGTTTCATCGTCACCTGAACTAGTGATAGGGAGTGAAGTAGTCGAGAGTGTAGACCGCTTCACTTATCTTGGGAGTCTCATCAGTGCTGATGGCCTGGTGATTGACGAAATCTCAGCACGGATACAGAAGGCTCGATTGGCTTTTGCCAACCTGCGTCACTTATGGCGCAGGCGAGATATCCGCTTGCTAACCAAAGGACGAGTGTACTGCATAGTAGTTCGCTCTGTCTTACTTTATGGCTGTGAAAAATGTCCGTAAAGAGTAGAAGACTTTCGTAGGTTACTAGTCTTCGATCAATGGTGTCTCCGAAGCATTGCTCGTGTATCCTGGGGCAACCGTATAAGAAATACTGTCGTTAGGAAACGAGTTCTAGGTAGGGATGTCAAATCAATAGATGAAGTAGTGAAACTTCATCAGTTGAGGTGGTTGGGACATGTGTTACGTATGCCTGACCACCGACTGCCTCGACGAGCTATGTTTTGTGGTGTAGGAGTTGGTTGGAATAAACCTACGGACGGCCAAACCGAAACATTTCAAAAATCCATGAATTCACTGACTAGTGGACTGAGTCATGTTGGTAGATGTAGGTTATCTGGTTGTGGTCCTCGAGACGAAAGTCACAAATTGTTAGAGACCTTGAATGACATGGCTCGAAATCGTTTTCAATGGCGCAGGTGCATCCACTCTTTGTGTTCTCTCTAATTATAACCTTCTGAATTCCTCATCACCTCTATCTTTCTCCTCCTAAATTTATCTCACTGAATTATACTTCTCGAATCATATCTTCGTTCCCTAATCTTGTCCATTACTGCTAATACTTCTACTATCGCTATCACTCTTGGATTTGAAGTGACAGTTGTGTCTCTGTGCTGATGTGGTATGGCAACCTGAACTGATGTACTTACGTACGAAGTTCTGCGTTGTAACTGTCTGTCTGTCTCTGCTGGTATCTAATGGTGTCAATATGTAACCTCGACCAATCCACGGTCTGGTGCAACTTCAACCATTGTCTTCGGTTGGCACTGCTTCACACTCAAACGGGGTTTAACTGCAATGGCCACGACTTCTCATGCAACTTATACAATTGTAAATTTATAGAGTCAAGTTTCTATCTCAGAAAGAATAATTACCTGATTCAGTGAATTACAATCAAATACCGATCACTTATATTTTCTTCTAATTCACTTCCTCCTAAATATTATAAATTTTTATTTCTGTAGGCACTTCGAAAGTTGTTAGAATAATTTTTTCTTAAAATATTAGTGAAATTCTACTTTATCGTGATAACAAATAAAAGATTGCCTTGAAATATTTTTTTTAAGCGTACGAATATATTCTATGAAAAATATTGAAAATTACTATTGTAGTTTATACCATAATTATATCACGTACACTGAAAAGTCAGAAATTTTGGATACATTTAAGTGCAGAAAAGAAAAGCTAAATTATTGTTTTCATCTGAAACTTGTAGGTTAGAGTTTTGTGGTTTATAATACTGCTAACTTGTAAATGTAGTGTGTATCTGCTATAAATATGATATGCTCTAAGGTATTACGTGTTCACCACACTTGGTAAACGAAACGAAGTTCAACGACGCAGTAACTCGATAGGCTATTCTAATCCGATTGTTTCATGCCCCGCTAACTGAAGCAAGAAGTCTTGATAAGGCGTACAGAGAATGTATTCTACTAGCACCCAGAAAGGTTGAGGTTATCAAGCCCATAACTCAAGCTTATTTATACAATGATAAAAACGCCCTTGATGAGAGCCACCAAATAGCTTACTAACATAATCCATCAACCAATGAAAGTCAAGGTCAACTAAGCGTATTTGGCGCGAAAATAGAGAAAAATTTAAAATTCCCTAAATAAATTACAAAATTAGGACTTTTTCCAATTGAGTTCTGTGTACCTAACATCCTCAACAAAATTACAGGTTACAAAGTATAAAAATAAACATTAATTCGTGAATTATTTCTATTTGTTATTGAACAGTTTCTATTTTATCTTTTTTTTATTGATTCTCATCATTTATTATTAGATGAATCGAAATTCACTGTACAAAATTGTCCTTCTTCCTCATCTAATCATCATACAACTATTACACAATTGAAAATTGAAATCTGTTGTCCTTGTCGTTTAAACAATGCCAATGTAATACAACAAAACGATTGTTCACAGGATACAGAATTAACATGTAATGAGAAAACAGCATTAATACCAAATACAACAGAAACAACAACTACAAAGCATACTAATGTAAGTGTTTTTCGTTTTTTTTTTTAAAAAATTCATGTTATTTCGATAAGTTGTTTGTACTTTGAGAGATTTTTATTAGTGTGTATCTTTATATTAGTGCGTTTGTCCCGACTGTAGCTGCTACCTTGACGTGGTGGTCGGGATGATCCAACCGATCTAAATTAGTTGGAACATATGTTCCTGTAGATTCTACAATGCCAGGCAGGTCGATTGGAGAGAGATGAGACTAAAAGCAGCTATTCAAGGTGTGAGGGCGAAGTCGTGCTGCTGACTGCAGAGGGGTGTGACAGCAGTAAGGTGTTTCCCTTGGACAACCAGCATCTGCAGCGATGCTACCTTCTTACAAGGAAGAGAGGGGTTAGAAAAGGTCGACCTTAAAAATGTCACACCTCACCTTACCACTCCGGCCGTAAGGGCTGTTAAAAAGAACGGAGCTAATACTCAGAAAGCCTTTAATGAAAAGGCCGTGCGTGACCGGCCTCAAGCAGTTGTTCCTTGGGCTCTGCGGTCACGCTGCCAGGTCTTTAAGACAGACACTAATCAACCTTCCTCTTCAGGTTCCTTAAGAAACGCCCTTCCACGATGTGGGCTGGTTTACCACAATAAAATTTCTGGTGTTTATATAACTAACAAAATTCTTGATATTCATTACTTGTTCAGCCTGCATGTAATCGGTTATATACGAAGTAGATAATAATTCATAACGATCAGAAATTGTTTTACATCGTTCAGTAGTACCATTTCACAATAGATCAGTCTTGTTCTGACTGACTCAGTCATTTTCATGTAAAGTATTTTAATAAAATCATTATTATCATTAATACTAATCAGTCAGATGCAACGTAGAACTTTGTACGTAAGTACATTAGTTCATGTTGCCATACCACATCAGCACAGAGATGTATTTCTCAATTCAAATCCAATAGTAGAAGAGATAGTAAAGGTAATAGAAGTAATCCGAGAGGTTGTGATTAGAAGATATTCAAGAAATATGATTCAGTGAGAAAAGTTTAGAAAGTCAAAACTAGAGGTGTTGAAGAATCCAGAAGATTAGGATTTGAGAGAACACAGAGAATAAATGCACCGGCGCCAATGCAAACGGTTTTGAGCCATGTCATTCAGGGTCTCTAACCATCGATTATTATCATCTCGCGGACCCCAACCAGGTAGTTTACATCTACCGACATGGCTCAGACCACTTGTCAGTGACTTCCTGGATTTGTGCCATGTTTAGGTCTGGCCGCCCCTAACTTTCTTCCAACCTATTCCTAGACTACAAAACAAAGCTCATCGAGGCAGTCGGTGGTTAGGCATACGCAGCACATGTCCCAACCACCTCAACTGATGAAGTTTCATTACTTCATCTACTGATCTGTCATTCTTACCTAGCACCTGTTGCTCACTCGGTTGTCCCATGATATACGAGCAATGCTTCGAAGACACCTATGATCGAAAACCAGTAACCTACGAATATCTTCTACTCTGACTGGCCATGTTTCACAGCCATAAAGTAAGACGGATCGAACTATTGCACAGTACACTCGTCCTTTAGTCAACAAACGGATATCTTGCCTACGCCATAAGTGACGCAGGTTGTCAAAAGCCAATCAAGCTCAATTGTGTTTAAATTAATTGAGCGTGTTTTCAGTTTGTTTATTTGTTTGTGTACGATAATCAATGAACATCACTTACAAAAACAACACTGATACATCGATCCATCACCTTAATCTGGCTAGTTAGTTACTTTCAATCAAGAAAAGGTGTGTAATTAATTACTACTACTACTACTCACAAAATCACATACTTATAATATTTAGAAACTGTTCTTACTTGAAAATAGAACACTTTTTGTTTAGCATTTGTGAATGAATGTTGTTAGCTAAACAATGATGTGTATGCTAACCTATCATTGGTTGCAATTGATCATAGTTGAGTTTTAATTCCTGGTTAATGGACATTGTCAAATGTTGTGTGATTAAGAACAGCAAACCTTGCTCCAGTCAGTCCGGACTATTGTAATTGTAATTTTGATTTAAGCCAGGCATGTACTACTTACTATATGATGTACATTTTCCTACCAACTGTTATGTGTTGATGAGCTAGCTAATCAGGCTAAAAAGAGTTGTTATTGATTTGTTTGTCTCGAAATTCAATGATGAATATCTGTCGATTGACACCATATAGGAAGCCTAACAGAAATAACTCTCTGTGTGATGCTGAGAACCGTTTTAAGATTTATTAAGAATAGTTCGTATTTTTATGATTATGTATTTAAAATGAGTGTTAAGGGCATCAGATTGCTCATTTAATTTGTCAGTTGTTTATTGAATAGTTGAGCAATACTGCCATTAGGAGGCGAGTACTGGGTAAGGATGGCAGGTCAGTAGATGAAGTATTGAAACTTCATCATTTGAGGTGGTTGGGACATGTGTTACGAATGACTGACCACCGACTGCCTCGACGAGCTATGTTTTGTGGTGTAGGAGTAGGTTGGAAGAAAGTTAGAGGTGGCCAAACCAAAACATGGCAGAAATCCATGAGGTCACTGACAAGTGGACTGAGTCATGTTGGTAGATGTAGGCTACCTGGTTGTAGTCCGCGTGACGCGAAAGTCACTAATGGTTAGAGACCTTGAACGACACGGCTCAAAATCGTTTACAACGGTGCCAGTGCATCCACTCTTTGTGTTCTCTTAAATCTTAATCTTCTGGATTCGTCAACACTTCTACCTTTGTCTTTCTAAACTTATCTCACTGAATTATACTTCTTGAATAATATCTTGGAACCCTAATCTTCTTCTTTACCAGTAGTACTTCTACTATCTCCACCACTATGGTAATCGAATTGACAATTGCGTCTGTGTGCTAATGTGGTATGGCAACATGAAGTGATGTACTTACGTACAAAGTTCTACGTTGCATCTGACTGACTGTCTGACTTATTGAACAGTTGACGAACTGCTTATGCTTGAATGGATCCGATAGGTGACCATACTCACACACGAAATGCAGATTTGGCTATGAGGATAATGATGTTTAATTAATTATTCAATTTTTTTCTCTTCAGCGTATCGGCTATCATTCATGTTTCATAGCAAATGATTGATTTTCAATAAGGGTTGTTCAGACTCAAAATGTTTAGATTACAAAACTGTTAGTGAGCCTTAAGAGAAAAACCGTTCCAATACTGGAAATCACTAAACTCTAGTATGTATTATTAGTCCTTATTACGAAACATCCTCGATGTGTATAGACTCTTTGTATACTAACTAGAAAGTGATTGTGAAATCAATCGGATCGTTTGAACATTGGTATTTTGACATTTTCTTCAAACACACCATTACCTTACTTACTTACTTATTTACGTACGTCTGTTACCCCTAATGGAGGATACGCCGCCGACCAGTATTCTCTAACTTACTTTGTCCTGGGCCTTCCTTTTTAGTTCTATCCAATTGTTGTTTATTCTTCTCATATCTGTCTCCATTTCTCGACGCAGTGTGTTCTTTTGTCTTGCACTTCTCCTTTGACCTTGAGGATTTCAAGTCGAAACTTGTTTTGTCACGAAGTTGTGTGCTTTCCGCAATGTGTGTCCTATTCACTCCCAACGCTTCTTCCTGCTTTCTTCCTCCGCTGAAATCTGATACCATTTCCTAGCTATAAGAAAATAATGACTTTTATTTCGTTAATGAAACTAATCTTTTATTGCTTGTCGTATATATTAAATAGTAGGTCTAGACAAAACACATCAATTGTCTTAATGGTTTAATTATTTGGGTTTTAAAATTCGATTTTAATCTGTTGCATTTTGAGAGCTACCAATCACATTTCAGATATCTAAGTTATCAGCATTCAATCAACATCATTGGTTTTATCAATATGATAGGTATAATATAACCGGAAGACCAAGTCTACTAACTTAAAAGTCATAAAAGTTTTCAAATGTAGAAGAAATTATTAAGTTTTTCAAAATCAGGTTAACCAGTTGTAGAGAAAAAGTAGATTGTGGAGATTGTTAAGTTACACATTTGAAATCATGAATCGAATAATGTTAGACCACCATTAGAAACCTGGAAGCACTGGCTGGCCGTTTTGTCTTGGTATGGGATTCATCAATAGTGCGCATCCACGACTCCTGCACCTCATAGGATTCGAACCTAGGAGCTTCGGCCTTACGCAAGAATGCCTAACCTCCGGACCACTGAGTCGTTATCTAACGGTGTTAATGTCTAACTTCGATCAATCCACGATCTTGTGCAACCTCATACACTGTCTTCGGCAGTTACTGTCTACATCTAAACAGGTTGAACTTCACTGGTCACATTTATGAAGGATCTTTAGGAACATTACTCGCTTATAAGTATTTTTCCCTAATTTTTTTCAATGCAACCATTTTCATCTGACAATTCTGAATCTTGCATAAAGTCATAAATAGAGTTGGTTCTTGTTTATGTGAACCTGTTGTTTCTAGTAGGGGAGGATGGTTTTCTACCATTTTCTTTCATGCTATCCCATACCAAAAGCTTTGAAGCAAATAGAAACCGTCAATTCGGCTAAAGTTAATCATTGTTAAATCGGAATTCAATTTTTTAAAACTCTGTCAGTCATATCCTTCTGTTGAAAACCATATTGTTTTTGACTAAATTGAATGGTTGTACGATCAATTTCAAAACTTGGGAGTGTTGAGAAACAGAATTTCATATAACTTTGGGTAGCAAGTAACTTATAGAGAAGGTATGATATTTCAGCGATGAGACTGTTTTACAGACAAAGAAATCTAATTGTACTCTACCAACTCCATAGGTCGTTTACACCATTTGTATTCTGATTGTTCGGATTTGAAATGCTAGAGTGAAGGTAGGGTTAAGGTTAGGATATTAAGAAATAATCCTAACATTCTAATTTTAATGATCTGTAATGTTTAAAATTTTATCACCTTTTTTTGTACTCACTTCATTCTGGCTAACATGTGATTGATTAATCTCAAGGTTACCTGAAGGTCATCAATAGAGATCTACTCTATTCACACTAAAATGGATTCCTTTTTTTTATTACTGTATAATTATCTCATTCCCATCGCCCGAATGAGGGATGGTTTTATCATAATAATGATAACCTAGAATATTAGAAAGTAGTGAATGAATAACTGAATGTTAATTCGTTCAGTCCGGAATTCATTGACCCTTTGTATTATTCTATCCTATTTAAAGCAGGTAACTAACTATATGAGCATTCAATACATTTCTGAATAAAACCAACTGTCCATTAAATGTTTTCATTATAAAAATATATTAAAAATCATAATTTTTTTTGATCTAACTATGCATTTTTATCTCAGTCCTTTCATTCTTGTCAACCTTTTTAAAATAATCTCTAGATGAATGAATTCAATCATCCAATGCGCTATGCACACAAACTACTGTGTACCGATACCGTCTAACTTGATTTTTTTTCTCTATCAGGGTTTAATAATTTTCATTGTTGATATTGAAAAAAAACTACATTTGTTTAATTTGACTTGACATGTGTGTACATTAGGTGTGGATTAATTAATTCGATGTAGGCTTTAGTCACACGTTTTCAATGTGAACAACAGGAAATGACAAATCCATACTAATGAACACAGTTTGTGTAAATCAGTATACGTTCGGATGATTTTATCGGTCAGTGATCAACATACATTAGAATATCATTGAAAACTAGAGAGAGCAGTGTAATGTTGTTTGTTTGTAGTTTGATGTCGACCAAGTCAGGCATGAAAGCATCATTCTTTGATGATTGTCAACTGCAGAGGTGGTTTCAAGATTATCAAGTGTATGAGTCACGGAAAGCAGCAAAGAAGACAGCGGTACGGCAATCAGAAAGACTACGACGACAGCTTATTGAAGATGGGGGGGGGACGAGTGTAGTGCGCGCTACTTATAAGTAGTATATGACGCGAGTAAAAACGTAATGTCTGGCAGCAGAAGATGGGGGAAGATCAAGAAAACAAGAGTGGGAACACAATGGGATTTGTATGAAACGCATGAACAGTGAAATGTCAGACAATGAATTGATGTTTTACAACAGGAACAGTCCAGTTCGATATGATGGATTGATATTTTGCAAATTAACGATTTACGATATGGTTTTCCTATTTTAGCAATTAACTCTGTAATTTGCGATAAATACAATTCGGTTGCCCTCACCTGTGTTAAACTGTCGTGTGGACTGATTGACTTACTTACTCCTGTTACACCTTACGGAGCATAGGCCACCGACCAGCATTCTCCAACCTACTCTGTCCTGGGCCTTCTTTTCTAGTTCTATCCAACTGCTGTTCATTCTTTTTTTTTGTTTGCTTCCAACTTTCGGCCTATTGTGTTCTCGAACCTTCCTCTTTTCCTTTGGCCTTGAAGATTCCAGGTGGAGGGCTTGATGTCAGTTGAACTGATGGACAATTGATCTTAAATGATTGATCTAGGAACGTGATGCTTTTTTTCATATCTATCCATAGTAAATTCGTGTTCAATGTTGTCTGGTTTTCCGATTTTACCTAAACCACTATCGATCGATAGGTAACATCTCTATCCACAAACAATCATTTTTCATTGATCTCATGCCTGTTCATTTCCTTTAACTGTTTCAGCCTAAATATATGTCTCTTCTTAGCACAGATAATGTTTACCATGAATTATGTGAAATTGTCCAGGGTTTTTTATTCCGGTAATTCATATGCTTACTTTTTGCGTATCATTTAGTCACGTGCTTCATACACATTGTGTTCCATTTTAATGTGACTCAGACTAAAAAACCATGCCGATATAACCTTGACCCATAAGAGAAAAAATTCAATGTTTTTGCATTTAGAAAAGATATTCACTATATTTCTCTAGGTTTTTATTATTTTTTCTTTCTACTCTAAGCTGATTTGTTACAATTTCAATTCTAATCTTGTTAATCTTGTTTTTTAAAATCTTTGTTATGTTATATTATCTGGAAAGAAAGTGGCTATAATTAGGATTTGGCATATTTGTACAAAGGTAAAATATATTGATGTATTTACTAGTCCTGAATTTAAGCCCTTGCGGCTATTAATGACTTTTTGGTGCTATAATCTTGTTCATTCGGGTAATTGAAACTGTGTAGAACGATATAGTTAAGCTTGATTTATAAATCAATAAACACATTCCCTAATTCGCTGTTGTGTGTGTGTGTGTGTGACGAAAGTTGATTTGGTTTTTGTTGGCTGGAAAGTATTTTAAGCATCTTGTAACACCAATCTACGATTATTATTTCAAAGATAGAAATATTTTTATAGACAATGGTTTTTTTTTTAATATTTTTAAATATGAAACTATACTTTGATATCATTGATCAAGTTGGCTAGATGGATTTTTATCGACTAGATTTAAGATTTACACCATTTGTAAATTATTTGAGTTGTATCAGTAAAATTTACTAGCTAGTGACAAATTGTAGGAACGTTTGATTTTTCATTGTTGATTTTTACGTTGTAAAACGACAATCTTCATAACTCTATAATGAAAAAAAAAAAATCATAAAATGCACTCACTAATGACTAGCTTGGTGAAGGAATTCCCGGAGCTCTAGTGAGAAGCCGTGATCAAATGGTGTTCAACCCTGTCGGATGTAGGCAGTAACTACCGAAGGTAATGGATGAGGCTGCGCAAAACCTTAGATTGACCAAAAGTTAGACATTATCGCCAATGGATGCTAGCTCTATGACCCGGAGTCTTGAGTTCGATCCCCGTGAGTGGGCGTTGTGGATGTGCACCGTCACTGATAAGTCCCATTCTACGACGAAAGAACTGTCAAGTACTGCCAGGTTTTTAATGCTGGTCCAAAAATCATTGACTCACGATTTCAATGTAGAACATTTACTTCCCAACTGGAGAAGACTCCAATCTTTCATCATTACTCTGATTGTTTTCTAATACTTCATTGATATTTATCTTTAAATTCGAAGTATATTATTACAATGAAATCCATGAAATCATTGACGAGTGGACTTAGCCATGTCGGTAATTGTCGACTACCTGATTGGGGTCCGCTAGATGATAATAATCGATGGTTAGAGACCTTGAATGACATGGCTCAAAATCGTTCGCAATGGCGCCGGTGCATTTATTCTCTGTGTTCTCTCATATTCTAATCTTCTGGATTCTTTAACCCCTCTAGTTTTGACTTTCTAAACTTTTCTCACTGAATCATACTTCTTGAATAATATTTTCTAATCCTAATCTCTGTGATTATTTCTAATACCTTTACTATCTCTTCTATTATTGGATTTGAATTGAGAATTACGTACAAAGTTCTACGTTGCATCTGACTGACTGATTACAATGAATAGAATTTTCTAAACAGATATTTGAACTGTTTCAAATGTTTCAAAGTTAATACTGTCATGCCAAAATAACTTTCGTTAAGGAGGCTTCATGAAAACTAAATCATTCACGAATATTTATTCTAGGCTCTATATTGATTATAACTGCTTGTGTCTTTATTAATTGCTAACGCACGCCTGTTGCCCCCAGTGGAGCATAAGCTGCTGACCAGCTTTCTTCAACTTACTGTGTCTTAATTCGGTTCATATTTTTTCTGTGATTGCTTTTGTACTTAGTGATATTAAAATGTGATTCATTTACCGGGTACAGGTTGGCATACTTAGTTTTAAGCTGTAATGTTCATGTGTGTGTGTGTGTGTGTGTGTGTGAGGGCTAGTCAGTTGGTCACTTACAATGTAGCACCTTACAGATATGCATTGATACAAGTCATTATACGATGTTTAATGATACTAACTGGTTACCTGCATCGAAGTAAATGAATCAACCTTTAAAAAGTGATATTAAAAATAATGAATCATAGTACTGGAAAGCTTTGACACCTTATCAGAATAACATATGGTAATTGTCGTTATTATTGTCGTTATTCATCACCTATGTATTTTACTGGTATAATATGGTGAGTTTACATTAAACCTAGATATACTTGTTCGTTGGTAACCTTTGTCGGAACCTTTACATGATCTACGCTCCTATCTGACTACTAATCGCACTTACTTACTCATCAGCAGTAACCTAACCAAAAATGAGTCGAAAACAAGACTGACACTTTAAGACACACTGTCTCATTGAATGTTGAACAAACAAACTTACTAATCGTAAGTTTAATATATCAACTTATTGATCCCTGAGATGGACATATGTTCAGTAATTGTTACTAGTTGAGTTACTTGTATCTAATTGACAATGTAATCATAAGACATTATATAATTTGTCTAGTTTCGTTAGTAATATCAAACCTTAGGCTTAGATTAATGGATGTAATCACTCTAAATACTGCTTAAATACTGATCTCTGAATTAGTTGGTTTTATCATTTAGGTGCTACAATTTACTTACACCAACTGGTCTATTGACCCTAGAAGTTTGATACATTTCTCTACATGGATTCTGCTGATTTACTGTTTGTATATGACTTGTTACGAAAATATCGGATTAAAATTTTTACTGTTGACGTACCAACTAGATTTTATATAGAGGTTTCAAAATTGTTTCATGACTTCCATGACTTACAAGGTGAATTCATGTTGTCATGCGATATATATATAGGTTGATTGTAGAAGTTGTTATTGACTAATTTTCCATGCTTCCCCCTTCATTTCCTATAATAATTTTTTAAAATGTTATTTTCAGTCTCCAAACCATCCTTTCCATATTCATGGACAAGGAGGAGGAGGAGATAATCATACAAATAATCGTGATTCAGTTACATCCAGATCTAGTTGGGCTCGAAGTATATTTGAACGTTTACGTGCTTCATCATTGACATCGTCATTTACTACTACTAATGAATCGAAAACAAATCATTTTACAAATAATAATTCTATCGGTCATAATGATCATATATTTCGATTTAAAGAACATAATGTTCATCATTATAATCATAATGTAAATATATCATCGGATGTAATTGATCCACGTCGTTTACCAAAAATTCATGGTCCTGTAAGTCATTGTTTGGAATTTGCTAAAAAACCTTTACAAAAATCCAATCATCATTTCTATTCCAAATCAATTCCAGTCTCTTCAACACATACGGATTTATTGTCTTCTAGTCTTCTATCGAATTCTTTACAATCTTCTAACATGAATAATCATAATAATAATCACAATAATCATAATAATAAACACCGGAAACGTATTCGATGGGTAAGTTTTTTTAGTTAAGATTGTATTTTAGATTTTTTGTATTTACAATGAATTTTCTTGTAAAACAATGTATAACTTCAACCTTTTAGTATGTTTGACTTTAACTAGAAGGAGGTACTTTGTGTACTTGGGGGGAGTGTGAGTGAGGTAATCCGAAAGGGGAATGAACAAAGGATAGGTGCACTAACATAGAATGCGCTTACACTTAATGTAGAAAGCAGTCGACAGCAGTTCGAAATAACACAAGCATGAGATCAGGAAGAACCTAGAAGTTGGTAGAGTAAAGTTTCGAATGTGTTACAAATGTCTTGTTTGAAACTAACGATAGAATTTCAAAGTAATTGTTCAAAGATTTCAGTTTTGAGTGAATATCTATAGTGTACTTCAAAATAATGATAATAATACCTCTCATTACAGGGGTTGTGAAGATTGGTAAGTTACACATTTTTGAAACCATGAATCAATCAATGTTAGACCACCATTAGAAACCTGGAAGCACTGGACGGCCGTTTCGTCCTGGTATGGGACTCCTCAGCAGTGCGCATCCACGACTCCTGCATCCCGCAGGATTCGAACACACGCCCTAACCGTTAGACCACTGAGCCGGTATCTAACAGTGTTAATGTCTAACTTGATCAAATTCACAGAGTTGCGGGATGCAGGAGTCGTAGATGCGCACTTCTGAGGAGTCCCATACCAGGACGAAACGGCCGTCCAGTGCTTTCAGGTTTCTAATGGTGGTCTAACATTGATCGATTCATGGTTTCAAAAATAATACCTCTGTTTAGTGCCATAAATCTTGTTACGGTCAGGTGTTATAGTGTAATCTCTTTTCGTTAGATCCCCAGAACTCACTTGTTAAAGGTCCTAATTTTGGATTTTTTATGTTTTCGCGCATATGTTGCTTAGTTGACCTTCAGGTTACATTTCCCACTCAGAAACTCCTTGATTGTTATTGGTTGATGTATTTTTGTGGCTCCCCCAAGGACGTTTCTATCATGTATTAATAAGCTCGATTTGTATGCTTGTCAAGCTCGTATTTTCTGGGTGCTTGTAGAATACACTTTCTATACCTTATCAAGACTTCCTGATCCAGTTAGCCTGGCTGGAGACAAACGGATTAGAATAGCTGATCGTGTCACTGTATCGTTGATCTTCGTTCCGTTTACCGAGTATGGTGAGCTCGTAATAGTTTCAAGCATATCAAGTGACGAGCATATCAGATTTCGTCAAAGGGTAGATAAATATAGACACATTTTAGCGATGGTAATGTTACCTACCGTATGAGTTTTGCAGTATTTAAGATTGTAATAACTTGGTTAGGCTTTTGTAATTATTGATTTGAAATCAATCTAAAACAGAAAGATATATCACAATATTTATTTACATAGTTGAAAATAGAGAATAGAATGTTGTTGCCTATATTGTTAAATATCAAATAACTTGTGTGTGTCTAGTTGTGTTGTGTGTGTGTATTGATTACATCGATTTTTCTTTTTTTTCAAAACAAACTTGTTACACATTGAATTGGATAAAGTGTAATTCTGTCAAGTTTGTTATATAATCCTTTTTTACAGTAAACAATATATTTTTCTGTTTACAGTTTAGTCATTCAACTTCATGTGACATGGGACCCGGTGATCCAATTCTAGGTAAGTTTAAACAATATATCGGTAACTTTATGTTAGATTGTGAAATTAAAATAAATATCTATCATTTGATAGCTTAAAATTCACTGTGACTATATCTTACGTGCTGGGACCTTTCCTGAGGGAAACGCCTGTTGTTTTTGACTGACGAAGCATCATTATTTTTTGGTTCATTGACTTCTGTCATTCAGTATAGTAGCTACTTGTGGTAAGGGAATGCTGTAACACTGTTCAAGTGTATCAAGAACGGATTTTCTTTCTTTCATAGGTAATCTATAGCCTGAAGGGCTAACTGTCTCGTTTCATCATTAATGGTTCAATAGTTATCATCAGGAGACTAGTAATGACAAATGACTGTTCTCCAAACATTTGTGATTGAGTTTTTTTAATGATTTCATCAAATCGAGAAAGTTAGTATCTTTTTTTCAAGAATATTAGGTTTCTGTTGTGTCGAGTTTATAGTGGAAGTATTCACTGCCTCGACGAGCTATGTTTTGTCGTGTAGGAGTAGGTTGGAATAAAGTTAGGGGCGGCCAAACCAAAACACGGCACAAATACATGAAGTCACTGACAGACAAGTGGACTGAGTCACGGTGGTAGATGTAGGCTACCTGGTTGTGGTCTGCGAGACGAAAGTCACCAATGGTTAGAGACCTTGAGTGACATGGCTCAAGATCGTTTGCAATGGCGCAAGTGCATCCATTCTTTGAGCTCTCTCAAACCCTAATCTTTTGGATTCGTGAACACTTCTATCTTTGTCTTTCTAACCTTATCTCAGTTGATTATAATTCTTGAATAATATCTTTAAACCCTAGTCTTCTTCATTACCATTAATACCTCTACTATCTTTATCACTATGGGATTTGATTTGACATTTGCGTCTCTGTGTTAATGTGGAACTTATGTACATACTTATGAAGTTCTTCGTTGCAATTGACTAACTGATTAGAAGTATTCTCACTTTTATATTACATCATTCAGTTTGGAAATATCCATCTAGAATCAATCTTCATACTTGCTAAACTAAGAATATAAACATATAGGAATCAGCTGAAATGTCAAATCTCAACCTCATGAATAACGAACGTTCACTAACTGTGTGTGTGTGTGTGCGCGCCCACATATTAAATTGCAGTTTTTATCAATGAAAATAGATTTTATAATTAATTGATAATGAATAAATAAATGGTTTGTAAATTTGAAAAGATAATTTATTTTTTTATGAAATACATTTCAAATCTAGTTTAATTTCCGGTTAGTTTAAACTATTGAAAGATATGTATTCTATGTATGAATTAAGGTTATAATTCATCATGATTAATTTAGGTCATTGTCCAATGTACCAGGTTACTGTAAAATTATTGTTAATGTTTTAATAATAGTAATAGTAATAATAATAATTATTATTATCACTAATCATATTCAACCTAACTATCTTTATGCACTGAACTAGTGTGTCCTATTTGGTACAATGTCCTTACATTAAAAGTTCCAACATGTAGTCTAGAACGGGATTTCAAGAGACCAGTAAATGACGTTTCGTGAACTCGCATCGTTTGCATTAGTGGTGCAGTGAGATAAGGGAATGTGAGTAGAGTTAGTTGTGGAGAGAAGAGAGAGGTATGTGTGGGTGTAGGAAGGATTTGATTTCGAACAATTTGGTCTCGTGTGTTGTTACGAGTATGAGGGCGGTTGTCACTTCCCGGCTGCCCATACCGTGGAAGGTTGTTTCTTGAGGGACCTGAAATGGAAGATAGATTAGTGTTGGTCTTGGAGACCTGGGAGCGTGACCGCAGAGCCCAAGGGACAACTGCTTGAGGCCGTTCACGCACAGCCATTTTATTAAAGGTTTTCCGAGTATTAGCTCCTCTCTTTTAAAGCCCTTATTGGGCAGCTCTTACCGCTGGAGACGGAAATCCGTGAGTCAGGGTGAAGTGTGACATTTTTAGGGTCGACCTTTTCTAACCACTTACTTCCTTGTAAGAAGGCAGCATCGCTGCAGATGCTGGTTGTCTGAGGGAAACACCTTACTGCTGTCACACTCTTATGCAGTCAGCGGGACGACTTCGCCCTCAGACCTTCAGTAGCTGCTTTTGGTTTCATCGTTCTCCAATCGACCTGCCTGGCTTTGTAGAACCTACAGAAACATATGTTCCAGCCAATATAGCTCGGTTGGGTCATCACGATAGGTAAGCCCGATCACCACGTCAAGGTAGCAGTTATGGTTGGGAGTGTGCAGTTGGAAATCTGTTCACATTGATTGTTGTTCCTCGCCTCTTCTCTTTTCCTCATATCTATGTTACTTATGATTATTTTTTCGCATTGAACTATGTTAGCGGTTTCTATTCCTTTGTCATATAAGTAACATACACATATCAATATTAGTGTTCTTTTTTGTATACTCTTGAAATCAGTTATCATGTCTATGATGTATGCACCTAAGGTCTAAGGTAAAATCATGGTAGATTTTTCTACTAACTGGTGATTTGCATGAATCACTCGAATTCATCCTAATTATTTAAGTTCATCAAATCTTTCAAATTGATTCAACTTACCGTTTCCTCGCCTGATTTTTTAAAATATATAATTTGACTTAATTTATGAGTATAATTGGTTATTATAGAATAGAGAAAATTTTTGAGTTTCGTTAGATTAATGAATTGTTCAGATCTACATTAGAAACTTGGAAGCACTGGACAGTCGTTTCGTTCTAGCGTGTGACTCATTAGCAGTGTGTATCCACGACTCCACGAGTGGGGATCGGAACGACGACCTTCGATCTCGCGCACGGGCGTTGAACCTCAATTACCAAGTTGGCATCTTATGGTGTCAATGTGTAACGTCAATAAATTCATGATCTGTCATGACTATCATCTTCGGAGGGTAACTACCTCATATCGGATACTGCTGAACTCCACTGGTCGTAAGGGTAATTGTTAGCATGTGAGATCAAGGGTTCCAGGTTCGATTCCTGCTTTCGGTCTTGAATGTGCATAACTGATGAGTACCATACTAGAACGACATGGTTATTCAGTCCTTGCAATTTTCTAATGTGTTCATCTAACACTGATCGATTCATGGTTTCAATCAAATTCATTGGTCTAGCATTTTACTTGTCGTAAATATCAAGTTTTGACAAGGTGCACACACGGCGATCGATTCTCTACGTTACAAATTTTAGTTTTGATTTCTATCAAATATGTAATTGTTTTATCAATTTCATGAGATTGAAAGCGGTAAGGCATAGAGAATTGTAATTTATTCAAAAAGTAACCGGTCATATTGATTCAATCAGTTGGCTATTATTGTATTGTAATGTATATTTGGGTATGATTTTCGGTGCGCAACAACTTTATGCTTTGAAAATTAAACACTTATTATCGATGCGTGTATATTATCATATTTTTTACAAGGTTTGAAATTGTGACCATTTCACCTTAAGCGTTGGCAACAAACAGCATGATTTGTTTAACCTATCTATGGGACGCACATTCGGACTAGTTTTGAATGCAACATATTCAACACAGACTTATAAATATTATTGATTGTCAAAAGACTGTGATTAGTCGTGCGATAATATATATATATATATATATATATATATATATATATATATATATATATATATATATATATACACTTTAGGTGTGGCATAGTGTAGATAGGTTAGTGAGGTTGTGAATCCTTGTCAATTAAGGTGGCCGGAGCATGTGTTGTCCGCTACCCACCTTAAGGTGCA